TTTGGGAGCTGTCCCTTATCAAAAGAAAACATCTTTAAATCAGCCTGCATGAATAGTTTCTCTGTGGCTGCACCACAGAGATGAACGGAGAGATGAGGCCTCATTTGGGAAAGCACAGCAACACTTAATTCTGTCTTATTAACAAGCATTGCCGCTACAATACCATACATAAACGTTCAGTAAATGAGTAAATTCAGTTCTTATAATTAATTAATCTTTATCTTAAATATTCTTGTTTAGAATAAAAGTAAATTCTTGAGTGTAAAAATGCAAACATTGGAAGTGTAGATATCAGCAATTCTGATCAGGGTTTAAAAATTCCACAGAGAGGAGCAGCAGGATCCATGACAGATTTTGTCAAGTCTTTGTCCACTGATACAGAATATATACTGTAGATTATCCTTAAGGGCACAGGAAGAGAGAAGGGTTCCATGCTTAGCAGTGTGCTGAAGTCTTCCACTGAAACAGAGTCTCAGGACATGGGAATCTGGCCACAGCTCCAGGCTTAAATAGGGAGAAACTTAAAATTACAATGAAGAGTTTCTCGCAAATCATCTCTTGCTGTTGAGAACTCTGGTTTACATACAGTATGGTCTCTTGGCCCAGCAGTTACTTTCAGCTAAGTTTGCTTGCTGCCATTTCTGGGAGCGATGGTTTCAGTCACATGATTCATTTCTTGTCAAGTTGACGGGATCTCAGAGAGCATTGCAACTGCTTGTGCTGCAACTTTTAAGTTGTAATATTGTGGTTTATGATCAGTCATTATTGTTTGTTCCCCATTGGCGCATCATTCTGGTCAGTGGATTTATGGCAGATGACCTCCAGATGGGGTCTTAGTCCAGATGTGCCTCCTTCTTGCAGATGCAGACTGACAGGCAACTATTTAGGCACTTCATTTCAGGATAAGCCCAGTGTATGGTAATCTGGTCTGGCATTGGAGAGCCAGGATATCCTGCTTCTCACAGTACCATCTCGACAACATTACTAAGAAGCTGACTCAAACAAGTTGTAGTTGCTGGAATCTTCCAGTTTAAAGCAAGAGAATTATTGTATTCTTTCAGGACATTTAATTCCAAAAATAATCAGATACCTGCTCCATCAAAATATGCTATTTGAGAAAAAGGTGTGTAAGCCATTGATTATATTTTTAATTTAACCAGTTTTGGTATGTCTTTTTACAGGAGCTTCTTCATCTGAAGGAGAGATATCTTTTGCAGAGGCAGTAAATCGGTTTGTTCAGTTTTGCACTAAGTGTCCAAAGAAACATGTTCCTCCTTTGATTGAACATCGAATGGTCCAGCCTCTCTTGAGACATCTTTCATCATGTACAGGTAAGCATGTCATTCTTATATGTGAATTTCAAATACCAGGCACCTCGAAATCTCTTTAATAATCCATTGATGTGAGTATGATAATTTTAAGGTTTAAAATTGAGGTAGGATGAAAGTTGTATATGTTAAATATTTCAGAAATCCAGAAGCAATACTGCTGACACACTCTAGTTTAGTTTCTTCAGATGATTTCTCAAAATTAAATCATAAATGGAAATGGGAAAATAATTTTATTGTGTATAGATAATAACCCAAATGAAAGTATAGATTTCTGTTGTCTGTTCCCATAGAAGTTCCTCCTGGAGTGACTTGTGATGTGGATGTCAGCTATTCAAACAGCTTGGTTAAACAGTGCCTTCAAAGAAGAAAGTGGAAGGAATCTTTGCTGATGCTGTGGGGTAGAACGGATGGAGAGAAGAGAAGTGAGGGAGGCCTCCTGTCCAGATGCTGCCTGAAGGACCTGAACTTGGCTGATATTGTTCCCCATTTTAGCAAATCTGATGGCAACAGAATACATGTGGTGAAGTGTCTGATTGAAATGGGAGGTAAACTTGTTTTTGCTTTATAATATTGTCTTCATCCTGATTTTTTAACCAGTATTTTAATAATTAAAATACTAATAAAAACTGTCTTAAAAGAGAATCAAATCTGTAGATTTTAGGATTAAGCAGCTTTCATTATGCTGCCTGTGTACTGACAATACACTAAAGCATGTGATAATTAAGCACACATTTCATATGTGATATCAGAAGATATTTTTATTTTCCCACTGCCTAACTCTCTTAATTTGGTAATTAGAAGTCACTGAGTATTCATTGTACACTTTATCTCCATTCTGTTGGAAAGAATCTGGACATCTCATTGACTGCTGACAGAAATCTTGCCACCATAAATAACCCACATAGTGCCACATTGCAAAACCAAACGAATGGAGTGCAAGTTAAACAGGCTATGGGACTAGTGTCTGGCATCATCTGTCAACTTAGATTTACAGATCATATGATGTTGTAATTAGTATTGTTTCAGTCTTATACTGTAGTTTTAGTTTTTATCTGGAAAATGGGATCTACTGCTTAGTTCTTCACATCTCCAGTGATACAGGAACCAAAAAAAATTAATAAAATGTGTTATAGATTTAATATTGTCTAGATATTGATATTAACATACTGTAATAAGCTTGCTTGGAGACAGAATATTTTGAATACCCCGATAGTTAGCATTACTGTATGTAATACTTTACCTATGGATTGCACTGTGAGGATACTTCTTGTAGAGTGCAGTGAAGTTCTGGCACTTTGAGGGTGGATTTCAGACTAACCCTCCAGGCAGAATTTCTCAAGCTCCTGCAGACCCTTTGGTCTACAGAAGGGGTGCCCAACTAATCGACCGATCGTGGAGTGCTTGCCAGTCGTTGGATTGCAATAATGTTTGGCACAAAATAAATGGGGTATATGACTATTTACTTTTTTTGATAGCCTAAAAATTCATTGAGATCTGTACATGTGATGTCTTACATTTGACTGCCCTTGTGTGTGTTTAACCCGTGTCGAATGGGTTGTAAAAGTCTCTTCCCTGAGTGCTGGCTGACAGTGGGGGGAAAAAAAGGCTACAGGAGCTCCGTAAATAGTAAATAGCTACCCAAGAACGTTCTCGTGGTTATTGCCGCACGAACTCCACATTGGGTACAGTGCATAGTAGAGCGAAACAGACTGTGACAAATTCGCCGACAGTTTAATAAGTTTGATTGCCTATTTGATGTAGTGTTTGAGTGAAAAATGATGAAGCAAAGAGACCGAAAACTTACCACGGAATGGGAGCATGATTATTTGTTTGTACTTTCACATTCAAATCTGCAATGCTAGCATCTACGTGAAAAAGGGAAATATAGAACAACATTTCAAAACTGCACACAAAACGTATGATGTGGACCTTCCCGCAAAAAGTGAGTTAAAAGAAGGTGGAAAATTAAAAATCTCGACTAGCAGCAGTGGGTTTTCACGAGGCCTAATACAAGAGGGAAAGCGGCAATCATCGCATCGTTCCGTGTGAGCCACGTCCTGGCTAAACACAAAAAGTCATTCAGGGATCGAGAACTAATAAAAACATGCTTGGTGAGGCTGCTGACTTGCTGTTTGGAGATTAAAAAAACTGACATTTTTGGCAAAGTTCAGACAGCTGTTGCCTGAAATCAATTGAGAATTTCTCAAGTCATCTAAACATGGTGAATATGCCCAATTAGAGAATGACCAGTGGCTTCTGGATTAAGCATTCCCCACAGACTTGACTGAACTGCTGAATGAGCTGAATGTCGAGCTGCAGGTACAAAATAAAAATGTAATTGACATGATCAGCAGTGTCAACACGTAAAAAAAATATATATAAGTCTTTTCGAGTAAGCTTTCTCAGTGCCAATGCTACCTTTAAGGGAGGGTATTCTTTTTTCTAAAATGGGGAACATTACTTGTTTACAGTAACATGAGTCGCTTGCTTTTATTTGCTGTAATTTTACATTAAAAAAGGTTGGGAACCCCTGGTGCCCAGTATATTTGGTTCATTTTCTCTAGAACATATTTCATTGCACTTCAAAATGCAATTCAATAATTTAAGTAGATATTTGCCATTATCAGTACAATAAACTTCCACCCTTATGAAAAGTCCCCCTGGTCACAAACTGAGCTCTACTTTATGCCAATAAGCATGGCTTATTGCCTTGACCTCTGTGAGTGCTTGCTCCCTCTGGTAGAAAAAAAACACACTAAAATAAGCTAACATATTTTAAATGAGCTTCAGCTCACTTAAAACATGTTTGAGTGGGTATATGTCTGTATTACCAGTTGGTGACAAAAATGTGTTTAATGTGTCTTAACAGCCTCTCCAAATGGATATGGTGATCTTAAAGAATCACCCATCAATCTTTGTCTAAAGAGTGAAGACTACGAATTGGTTTATCTTCTGCTGAAGAATGGGGGAAACGCAAAGAGTTTTTCTGTCACATCTGGAGATACACCGCTTCACGCAGCTCTTCACATTGTTTCAGATAAAAAAGGTATATTTCAACCTATATCCCCTGTGCCAGACAGGTTTAAAGAGGACAAAGCACTTATCTGTTGTGACTTTTTGAAAAGTTGTCTTTATTATGTTAAATATTTGTTTATATTCATAAAATAAAGAACCATACTTAATATTTTGTTACACTGTCAACATTGAATACCATTTTGTATTGTAAAATATTACATTTTTAAAATGACAAGTTTGTTGCATTACTATTTTTTACTGTTGCATTTTGTCTCTCAACACTGGTTTTGTTTTACAGATGATATTGGCTTACACATTCTGAAACACTTTCTTGACGAATACAGTGCAGATCCAGCACAATATGACTATCTCAATCCTAATACTCAAGACCATGAAGGCAACACTTTACTTCATATGATCTTTCAGAAAAATTCATTTAGGCATCATGAAGATATAATGAACATGTTAGTAAAATTTGATATAAACAAAAAATTGAAAAATAATCAAGACAGAGAGGCAACTTTTCAAGTAAGTGGAAAGGATCCAAGACTTGTTTATTGGAACAAAATCCTCCCTAGAAACAAAAAGAAGCAGGATACAAGTTCAAAGTCTCAGAGGACAAAAACTGTGAAAACAGTGATCAACTCAAAAAACTCCAAGCCGAAAGTTGTTGAACCAGCAGATGAACCAGAGCTCAAGAACACTGAAGCAAAGTCCAAGAAAGGTGAAAATGTTCAACAAGGTGAAGTGGAATGCAAACTGGTCACAGTGAGAGACAGTCTTGTATATGAGATTGAAAAATTGATTCAACAGGGAGACTGGTCATGTACATCTCCCTGTGTTGATATCTCAGGGTCGATGGCATTACGAGACAAAGACAACATAGACTATGCTATAGGCAGTTCAGCCAACTACACTGAAAAGACAAGTGTCAAGAGTGAATCTTCAAAAGAGACTGATTTGATGGAAGACCCAGAAGCTGAGGCGACACTGGAAGAAAATGAACCAGATGATGTTCTGAAAGAGGACTGTTTTCAGGCATTGGACTTTGACAACATGACCTGGGAAATTGAATGCACCTCTGAAGTTTTAAAGAAACTTGGAAGCAAAGAAGTCCAGTTGCACACAAGAAACAAAATTGTGCAGGTCATCCAGCAGTTAGGAAATGGAGATTGGACTGTCAGTCTACAGAAAAAGCTTAAGCATCTTAAAAGTGAGATTAAGCTCTATGAGGCAAAACTTGACAAAGGGGCAAGGATGATGTGGGAGCTTGCAATAGACTTTTCACCTCGTTGTAGCGAAAATCCAGAGAAGATAATTGAAATGGAGCAGGCATCCAATGTTAATGTTAGGGCCACTGGAAGAGTCTACAGTGAAATGATCAGGATTTGGGACATTGTGCTTGACCACAACAAGCTCAATCATGCCATCGATACAATATGTCAAGCTTACAACCGTGGTTTGTCATGCGTTTTACGCAAGAAACTCAAAGGGCTTAACCGAGGTCAGTTTTCATCAAATCTGAACACAGAGAAACGCATTCCTCTCTGTTTTGTGGATTATGATGAAAGTCAGACAATGGAAGAGGACGTGACACCTGAATTTTGCCCACCAGCAAGTGCGGTTGAAACAGAATACAATATTATGAAGTTTCATAGCTTCAGTACTAATATGGCACTCAACATACTTAGTAACATGGACACTAAGGTTGAATACCCCTTCAGGGTTGGGGAATTGGAATATGCTATAATAGACCTCTGCCCTAAACCCTTGGAAGCAATTATCTTGATAGGAAGAAGTGGGACTGGCAAAACTACCTGTTGCCTCTATCGACTGTGGAAACAGTACCAGAAATATTGGGTTAAAGCAGAGCAAGCAGGTGAGCCTTTGCTTGTGAAAGTCATGTGGCCTAAACAGACACTTTCCCAAGGCCATGGTGTTGAGGATGCTCAAAGAGAGGTGGAAGGGTCAACAAATGTTGTGGAATCAGAATGCCATGAAAGTGATGAGGAAATTGACACTATATCAAGTGAAGAGGAAGTCCAGACCTGTGATGGAGCATGCTCTGCAGTAGTTCCTGCAGTGGAGGATATAGTGGAATCACATATTGACAATGATGCCCAACAAGATATAAACCAACTTGAGCACTTGCATCAGATCTTTGTGACCAAAAATCATGTTTTGTGCAAGGAGGTGCAGAAAAATTTTATTGAGTTGAGCAAGTCCACTAAGGCCACTATTCACTACAAACCCCTGGATTCCAATATTTATAGACTCCAGGATATCAAAGATGAACACTTCCCACTCTTTATCACTTCTCAGCAGTTGCTTCTGCTTCTGGATGCTTCACTGCCTGATCCTTTCTTCCCAAGGAATCCAGATGGGAGCTTGAAAAAATCTATTGTAGGCTGGTCCTCTCAGGACGAGATGTTGATTCCTGAGCTGCAGGATGACGATGAAGAAGAGGAGCTTGAAGATGAGATGGATGAAGAAGAAAATGTAATGGAAATCCAGATGCGAGAGACTGATCCCCGACAATTTGTAACATATGAGGTGTTTGCCTATGAAATCTGGCCTAAAATGGTCAAAGGTAAACCCCACTGTAACCCAGCCTTGGTTTGGAAGGAAATCAAGTCATTTTTAAAAGGGTCATTTGAGGCTTATAGCAGCCCAGGAGGTACCCTTTCAGAGGAGCAGTATAACAAGCTTGGTAGGAAGAGAGCTCCAAACTTCCAGGAGGACAGGACTGAAATTTATCGCCTCTTTCGCCTGTATCAGCAAATCAAGTCCCAGTGGGGATTCTTTGATGAGGAGGATGTTCTGCACAACTTGTCTATTAGACTTGCAAAACTTGATGAAATACCATGGTCCATTCATGAGCTTTATGGGGATGAGATCCAAGATTTTACCCAGGCCGAACTTTGTATGCTTATGAAAATAATCAATGACCCCAACTCCATGTTCCTTACTGGAGACACTGCACAGAGCATCATGAAGGGAGTGGCATTTCGCTTCAGTGATCTCAGGTCCTTATTCTATTATGCCAGCAAGAGCAATGCGGACAAGAAGAAGCGATCTCTTGTCAGAAAACCAAAGAGGATTTATCAGCTGTATCAGAACTACAGATCACATTCAGGTAAAGTAAGAGTTATTTCTATACATCTGTAATAAATTTGGCAGATAGTATTTAAAGTGTGCATTGTTAACTGTACATCCCTCTAGCTTGGAACCAGTGGTGCTGTCTATATAGAAAAATTTGAGTGGGGTACTGCATTGGTACAGTATGTGAGCTGCACAGGAACAGATAATCAAGAGAAAAGAAAACTATACACACAAAACCAAAAGACCCAAAGCTTTGTCTTTGAATTCGTTTTAGTTATATTGAGAAATGAGAGAGAGCAGGAATATGATACAAAGTGGTGGGTAAGGAGTAAGAAGATATTAAAATGGGTTGGTGGGTGAGATAGAACTTTGAGAGATGGGGAAGTGTGGAAGGCTGAGATCTGTAAATAAATAAGGTAAAATAAAATTATTGTAGAGAGGTAGGGCTTACTTCAGTTGGGTCACACTTATCTCCAGGTCAGAATGATTCAGTAATCTCTCTTCATTTACAGATTTCTGGTTTCTGCACTTTCTCTGCAACTCCAATATTCCTCTTTTCTTTTCATTTTCCCAGTTAAAATTTTTTATTTTTCCACCCCTTGGCATCATACTGTATGCCTGCCCTCACATACCATAAGAAGGCTTCTTTACTGAAATATTTTCCTTTTTACTTTTCAACCTCTATAATAACCTATACTTATACAGTATCTTTATTATATATTTAGAAAGTAAATATTGTAGTATTTTCGGGTTCGGTGAGGGCAATGTGAATCAGACATTCGTTGAGTGAAAAACAGCGCTTTATTTTTCGGCACAGCCAGCAGAGCAGTCCTGCGCCCACACGCCAGCAGAGAGAGAGAGACAGAGTGAGAGTGAGAGAGAGAATGAGTGAGTGGCCGAGAAACGAGAGAGAGAGCAGCATCCAGGGTCTGTTCAGGTAGCTACACAGGGATAGGGTGGCAATTGGGTAGAAGTATAACAGGGGTTCAAAACCAGGGAACTATTTACAAGAATCCAGGTGATCTCGCAAAACTGTACACCCGTTTTGAAAGGGGTCAGCTGCACTGTTCAGCGGCTTTCCTAGTCCCCACTCTGACAACTACTACTTCCGTCCTGCCCCTCAGTGCATACACCCAGCCAGGCGCTCTTCAGCAGCAGCGCCAGGCGAATGCACTACACTATTTAAGTTTTCATTGTGGAATTTACCTCTACTTTTTCCTCTACACCTCACCATTCCAATCTAAAGTGTATATACATGTGAAATTGGCTGTTGCAATAATGAATCGATTTAAATCTTAGACCGGTTGCCACTAAAAAATATTTATAAAGCATTTTACAGATTACACTGTACTATAGTGCGGATGAAATGTATTTAATATTCCAAATTCCAAATGTTTCATTAAAGGGATTCTGAATTTGGCATCTGGCATTGTGGACTTGCTGCAGTTCTTCTTCCCTGAATCATTTGACCGGTTGCCAAGGGACAGGGGATTGTTCGATGGGCCCAAGCCTACAGTCCTGGAATCCTGCAGTGTCAGTGACTTGGCTATTTTACTGAGGGGGAACAAGAGGAAGTCACAGCCCATTGAGTTTGGAGCTCACCAGGTTTGTGGTTTGTATAAACTTTAAAAACGATACTGTAACCCCTAGATTCACTAACACCTTTGCATCCCTGAAGAGGCACCCGTCTGCTCTTTAATAATGTAATAGGCATTGATATCTATGGGTGATTACAGAGCAAAATGCTCTTGTTAAGGGGGGAATGCAACTCAATCAGAACCTTCTGCCTTATGGGAAATGAATAATCACTGCTCAATTATTGTAGAATGCCCTTCCTGTTTGTTCTATGTTCTTGTTTTAATTTTTACTGCTTTTTAAAATATTTTATCATTATGTGCAGTGTCCTTGCATTTGTAAAGGTGTTCTAAATTATTATTATTATTATTATTATTATTATTATTATTATTATTATTATTATTAT